AATGTTTGTTTCAAAAAGTTGTTTATTTCAAATTCTTACAAGATACAAGTTTATTTAAAAACTACATTGAACTTTTATCAAACTATAGATTAGAGGGAATAAACCAAACTTTTGAGAACTTTTTAAATAAAAAGCACTGGAATTGAATAAAAAGAATTGTTAAGGTCAGTGTTTTGCATTTTTTTTTTTTACTATGAAACATCAAATAATCAAGTTTTTTTTAGAGGGTACCTCCTCCTCTGCCATATAAGGACATAACTTTAATGAATAAAACGATAAGCCTGTAAAAATTAAGCATTTTTAAAATAGCAACCTACATCAAAAACATAATCGTGATAAATTTTAAATAATATAAATTTTTCGATACAGAATTCAATAGGAGACGCACTCATCTCGAAAATTCCTATTAAAACAAAGTTAAGCTTAAATTAAAGAGTATGTTTAAAAACGAAATTAGCCGCTAGATCTACCATTAGGATAAAATATACCCCATTAAATGCTTTAGTTACTTTACTTTTAAACTAACAAATACTTAATAGCTGATTAATATTCGTGGTGTAACGGTCAGGTTGTCCACCTTTTACCAGAAGATATCGCAACTGGGATGATTGAATTTTTTATGATATTTAAAATTTAAATTAAAATTTTGTAATTTCTTAAAAATTACGAAATTAAACTAAAAAATCTAGTTTAGATAAAAATTTAGTTTTAAACTAAGAAATTTAGTTTAAAAATTTTGTAATTAAAAATTTTAATTAAATTTTGTATTTTTTTAAATAATCATTTTTAAATTAATGTATTAAAACATTTTTTTAAAGTAATATATTTTAATACAAAATTAAAAAAATAAATGTCTATTAATTTCTTGTTCTTATAAATTTAATTTTATTAAAAGAATTAAATTAAAAAAATAATAATTTATAAACTGAATAAAACATATTAAATTGTTATCAACCTTTTAATAAACGAAAATTATGCTTTAAATTCAGTTTTCAGCTAGAATTTGACCTCCTAACCATTGCAGCTGCAGGCGAACACCCTATCTCAGCGATTCTTAGTTTTTTTAGGCTTCTTTAGGTGGGACCCAGGCTTTATAAATGAAGTTTATTAAGAACGTTAAACCTATAAAAAACTGTCTTTTTTTTAAATATTTAATAAGGACTAGGAAAATATTTAATTATTAATAATCTTAAATTACGTTTCAAGTCCAACAATTGAATTTGCAGTCCATGTATTACATCTAATCTAGTTATGGAATTGTTTTTGGTGTATACATAAGCTGAAAAGGAATCAAATAAATCAAAATAGGGTATACCCCGAAATAAAAAAATTAAAAAATATTAGTTTTTTATTTTGATTTGAAAAGCGTAATGGGGAATAGTAATGCAGTATTTTACAAATTCTTGTTCTTTTTATATTTTGCTCAATATATTGTTATTAGTAGAAATATTATATTTTCTTTCAAAATACTATTAGTTATTAGTAGATATATAATAGTGTTATTAGTAGAAATATTATATTTTCTTTCACTTAAAATAATTTCATAAAGGCAACCGAAAGATTAAATAAATTATGAATTATAGGTTGGATCTAAATATAAAATGAGGTTTCAAATCTCATCACTGGTTATAAAAACTACTAACTAGCGGAACTCTTTTAACTCTTCAACGGAGTTCAAGGGCCCTACGGTTCCGCGGAACACCATTTGGAAACCGCAGCCCTATACGTTACACCACGATTTTCCATCAGTTGGAAAGTTTCTTTCAATTAAAACTAAATGAACTGAAACTGTAATGTACGTTTTCTTCAAACATTTTGTTTCAAAAAGTTGTATATTTCAAATCTATGCTAGATAAATGTTTATTTAATAACTAACGTGGACTTTCATCAAACAATAGATTACAGAGAATATGAAGTGAATTTTAGAAAACATTTTCATTAAAAAGCGTTGGAATTGTGCAAAAAGCATTCATTTTACTCTTATTTTTAATTGTTCACTTATTATTGTTTTATTTATTTTATTTCTTATCTATTTTATTCATTATTTATTTTATTCATCATTTATTTTATTTTATTTATTTATTTACTTTTGTCTATAGAAATAAATGATCAAAATTTTTCTGTCGGTACCCCGACTTTATGATATTCATTAGCAGTTACGAATATATTAATTAAGGAAAGGCTACTAATTACGTCGAAAATATTTAGTAGTTTTGAATTTGTTCTTAGTATATGCATAAGCTAAAAATAAATAAAATAAACGCTGTTATTTATTTATTTTTTTTAAAAATAAACTGTAATGAACACTGTGCACGGTTATAAGAGAAACATAATTCTATGGTGTTTAATTCGGTAATAGAATTTTGAATTGAAAAGTTTCATAAGAAATTCATTAAGGATTTGTTTTCATAAGAGCATACACTTTTTCTTTTTGAATTTATTCATTTTTTTCTTTTTTTCGCTGCAGAAAAAATATATTTTTTCAAAATTTTGAAATCTCTATTTTTATTGGCACTCTACTTAAACAATGGAAATAATCAAAATATTACGTAAATTATGTATTACTAGGAGGCTTCACCCCCTGTTCGCTGGCGCTCGCCAACCCCCGGAACAGCTTTGGCAGTTCATTTCCGATTGCTTCGCAATCCGATGCTCGCTTTGCTCGCTCATTGAATACGTTCTTAACGTCTAGCTTTTGTATACTTTTTTGAACACTGAAGTTCCGAAAACTTTTCACTGTAGAAAATTCTAAACCTGTGCATTTCAATATTAATTTGAAATTGCAAACAGTTCACATATTTTTCTTAATCACACTATTCTAAATTTCAGTTGTTGAGAAAAGTAACTGTTGTAAGTTTTGTTTTAAAGTCTTTCCCACCAGAGGGCTAAAACCATGTGTTGTAAAACAATATGAAATAGTACTGAACGCCGGATGTAAAGCATCGGCTTCGATGAAGATAATTTTGTGAGAATTTTTTTGATAATTCGGTGAGAATTCACCCGATTAGACATATGATGCTCACTACGTGCTCTTGCGCGCCGAAGCCTATCAATTAAAACGTATTAGCGTTTTATATAATATAGATTAGCCATATGATGCTCACTACGTGCTCTTGCGCGCCGAAGCCTATCAATTAAAAATGAAAACTGTTGCCAACGCGAGAAAAGAAATATCATCGGTTTTATTGATACATACGTATTAGCGTTTTATATAATATAGATTGGTTGGGTATAGATATTATTACAGATTTCCAAATATCAATAAAAAGATCCAACTATAGGAGCCCCTGTGATCCTACCATGGAACCCCAGGGTTCCACGAAATACTTTACGGAAACCGCTGCTTAAGAGAATTGATTTTAATTCTTTAAACTTAATTTCTGTATTAAAGGGTAAAAATCAATTTCACGAAATACTTTGAAGCAAAATTATAACTTCATTCACAATACCAAATTAACAAATTGATTTCTCTCATTTATGACACTTATCCTATAAATTATGACACTTCTAAAATATGATTGATTATAAAAATCTAAACTTTATGCCCCAGTAAATCAAAAAATTTTGAATGATGACTATCGTGCATTTCACTTAAGTTATATTATATTTCAAGTAAACAAAATTTAATTTTATTATAATTTAAGTAAAATTAAGTTATGAAATAAAAAGTTGACTGGCCTCGTTAACAACATTTATCATATTAATTACGACACTTCTAAAACAAGATTGACTAAAAAATATGAAACTCTATGTCCTATCAGATCAAAATTCATTTAATTCTGAATATCGTACATTTTACTTAAATTATTTATCATTGAGAACAAAGTTTCAGGAAACACTTTAAAGCAAAATTGTTGCAATCACGTTTAGAATAATGGAATACCAAATAATTGGTCTCAATCAAAATACTTATCATATGAATTATAATATTTCTAAAAATATGTTTCATTAAAAATATTTTAAACTTTAAAGTCTCAGTAGATCAATATCTATTTAATGATGACAACCGTACATTTTACTTAATTTATATATCATAGAGGACAAAATATCACGAAATACTTTGGAGCGAAATTATTGCAAGTACGTTTAGAATAATGGAATACCAAATAATTGGTCTCAATCAAGATGCTTATCATATGAATTTGGATTTTTCTAAAATATGTTTCATTAAAAAAATATAAAACTTAATGTCTCAGTAGTCAATATTTATTTAATGAGGACTACCGTACATTTTATTTAATTTAAATATCATTGAGAACAGAATATCATGGAATATTTTGAAGCAAAATTGTTGCAAGTAAATACCAAATAATTGATATTGATTGAATTGGAATACCAAATAATTGTCGCAATCAAGATACTTATCATATGAATTATAATATTTTTAAAAAATATTTAATTAAAAAAATATTAAACTTTATGTTCCATTATATTTATTTCATGATGACTAACTTACAATTTTACTTAATTTATATATCATAAAGGACAAAATATCACGGAATACTTGGGAGCAAAATTGTTGCATGTGCGAATCGAATAATAAAATGCCAAATAATTGGCCTCAATCAAGATACTTATCATATGAATTATAATATTTCTAAAATATGTTTGATGAATTAGGCCCAGTAGATTATAATTCATGTAATTATTACTACCTTACATTTAAATAGTGTTTTACACAGAACAAAACCAATATAAGCAAAATTAATGCTGCAAGTAAATTTAAAAAACTAATTTATAAAATTTAATGATTACATACTATGGCACACATTAAATATGTTTCAGAAACAGTTTTTACTTAAAGCTAATTTGATTAAATGTGTCAAATCTAAATTCTTACATGATTAAGATAAACTAAATAATCACAATCATACATCTAAATCAAATTAAGTACTAAAAATAATTAAGTTAATTTTTCAAAATAGTTTGAACGATAATTCTGTCAGTTATTTAGAGAAAATATCGAAAAGTCGCTGAGATAAAATTAAAGAAAATCTTACTCTTTATTAGCAAAGCTGACCGCTCTAAGGGAAGGAAGAATATCGAACGGAACAGAAGCCGCCATGACAGGCGCTGCTCGAGTGAGATCATGGAGAGCGAACGATTTCAGAAGCAGAAAGATCGTTTGGCGTCTAATATTTGAGCGCATGCTCATTCGATTAAAAAATGATTTTATTTTAAAATTTTGAAATGAGTTGATAAAGGGCGAAATTTAGTTACTTATTATTGGAATAAATTTCAAATTTTAACTTTACGCGTATAAAAAGCATAAAAATAATTTTGAAGAAGGGAAAAAGAGAGACACATTTTCGAATTTGAATTATAAAAACATGAAACATTAGTAAAAATTATGGAAATAATCAAACATTTTCTTAAAAAGAATTTTGAAAAAAAAGGGAAATATCTTTTCGAATTCGATCGAGTGATAAAAACGTCGAACATGTGCAGAACGTGTAATTATGGAAATCATAAAAAAATAAAATGGAAAGTAAAATTTTCTCAATTTTCTTGTGGGATTAAAAAAAATCATTAGATTAGAGGAGTTTATTTATTTATTTTTATCAGATCAATAACTAACATTATTTTTAACCATTTTATGATAATTAGTGGTTAACCCGGAAGTCCCTACAATATTTAAAACGGTTATTGAGTAATAATTAGAATAAAATTCATTTGTTCAATTTTGCCTGTCCTTAAGGACTGTATACCATGCGAGAAACCTTATATCGCAAATTTTTTGTCCCCTCCATAAGTAATTAAAAATTTTAAGTATAGAAGAAGTGTGTTCAGGCAAACTTACAGCTTCTATACTTTGAATTTTAAATTAGTTATGGAGGTGAAGTAGAATTTGCGTTGAAACATTTCTCTCACGGTATGGCTTCCTTTTTAAAAGCTTCATTGCACGATAACTAGGCTTCATATATAATTGTTTATATCTACATTAGGAGGCTCCACCTCTAGCTCGCTCCACTCGCCAACCCCTGTCAATTGCTTCTCATTCATCATTGCTTTTTTTTCTCTTTAAAAATCAATCTTTTCCACAAAAATACAGAATATTTTGTTTCCGAAATATACAATTATTGTAGCTTCATGTTTGAACATTTTCTTAACATGTTAATCACAAAGAAATGGACGATAACATGGATTTGAAAAATAATCATCTGAACCTGAAAAAGTTTTTTTTTTTTTAAATGTTCTACTTAAGGAACATAAAGAATGTATGACTCAATAAGATTATTACATCCACTATTGTATTTTGGCTTGTATTTGACTCAGTTTGGCTAATTCTAAAATATAATCATCTAAATATAATATAATCTATATCAAATATATAATCTATATAATTGATCTATATCAAATATAATATAATCGAAATATAATATATCATCTAAAACATAATCATCTAAATATTCTAAAATATAAAAATCATCAAACATAAAAGGTCACTTTTAAGAAGAGAAAGAGATTTTAAATGAATGACTTAATAATCGTCTGCTTTATGAAGCTATTTGGTTATTTTTGTTCCATGTATGTACTAACTCGTGGGTGCTGGTAAAAGCAGCTGTTTGAAAAAGCAGGTGAAGTAAATATAGGTCTATTTTTTTTAAATGGGTCAAAGGGGTTGCTGATTACTAATTAAAACTTCGGTAAAGCACCTATTTTCTGCAATGTACTCGTCCGTAAGTTTGGTCTTTCAAAACAAGATCGTTTGTTTCATTTGAAATTTGAATTTTATCACTCGTAAGGAAATCTTTTAAAAATTTGCTTTTTTCCCCCCATTTTTAAAAAAAAAATCCATTTCGTTAAAGGTAAGTGAAATATTTTTATTCTAAGACTGCAGAATTTCTAAGACTGAGAAAGCAGACAGAATTTCTATTTTTATTCTAAGACTGAGAAACTCATTACAATACCATCATTTATGCTTAAGGGGGGGAAATAAAAGGGTACAATTGACTATGATTATTCATAATTCAAACTAAGCCCTCACTAATCTAGCCAAATGTTTGAATTAAAATAAAAAATTGAGTGAAAATTGTCATGGTGTTCCTCGTAATTTCAATTTCGGCTTTTTTTATTGATTAGGTTTTTGCTTATACGGCATTTTTTTCTTCCTTTGGTTGTTTATTTTTAGTCTTTCAAAGTTTATATTTATTTATCTAGTGCTCACCTTATATATGCAAGCATAAATTTAAAATTGTTGGGAAAATACTGTTCTGAGCACGATTCGAAAATTAAATTTCCCGACGTGCCCGTGATACGCATTTATTACCCTTATAAGCCCGGCCAGTCACGTAAATATTTACCGATATCGTAAAATACTGATTAATCCCCCCTCAAATTTTGAAGAAATCCTTGGAAAAGGCGCATAAAGGGCACCAAAGGGAAAGATAGTGAATAAAATCGATTATATTTGATAAGACCTAAGCATTACTGAATTTACTTATCTAAATAAGAATTCATAAACAGAGTTTTATAATTTTTCACTTCTCTAGTTACACTTACTTTTATATAAAAAAAAGTTTATAGTTACATAATTTAAACGCACTATTTCGTGCCTTTGTTTAAGTATTTGGCTTATTTTTAAATAATTTGTTTCTTAAGCGCATAAATGTCAGTTGTTATAATTGTTTAAAAATAAAGTAAATAATTGTCTTCTTTTTTATTACTTTCGTTTTAGAACGCCTTTCTTTTTAATTTAAAATATTTTATTTTTGAATTGTATGACTTAATATCACTACTTTTATTTAATCACTCCCTAATGTCAATGAAATTTATATAAAAATTGCTGTCTTCTTTTAAAATCGAGTTTTCTTATATCTTTGGCAAAAATTAACACTAGATTGCCCAAGGAAGTCATTTTGACTGCTTTTAAATATCAATTAGAAAAACAATGATGAATATAATGACACAATTTCGTAGAATTTTGTGACTTTTTGTACAGCCTGTAATTCTTTTATTGTTAATATTTACTAATAACTTGTTATATAACTGTAAATAATTTAAAAAACATTAAAAATTAATTTTAAACAAATTTTTTTACATATTAGTTATTCTTTCACAATCCAGTCAATTTGACTGCTTTTGGACAATATAGGTATATACTAAGTTCCAGTCTTTTTAGTGTTAAAAAATGATAATAACGTATTAAAAATAAAGTTTCTTTCGAACTATAAAATACCTTTCGTATACCTTTTCGAAACTATAAAAGTCCATAATTTCATATAAAATGCGACAACTGTATTTTCCGATCTGCTTTTCACTTCAAATCTGGACTAGCTCTAATGACAACAGAACAAGAAGTAGCAAAACAATGAATGGAATCAGAAGGACTCAAAATGTTGACCGGTCATTTTGTCAATTCTTCAAGAAGAATGATTTTAGTCTAAGTTATTATCAAAGCATTTAATAATGGCTAAAATGTATGTCTAGTGTTTAATATAAGCAAAATTAGCTTTATAACTTCTTTAAAACCTCACAATTTCTTTCGTGTGCAAACTGAAATAACTCCCTTTATTTCTTTTTTACATGATTTATTCAAATGGTTCATGTTTTTACATGATTGCGAATTTTATGCATTTTGGTAATAGTATAAATAATTGTGTTCACATATTGACTGCAATTTTAGTTATTCCTTTCGTTTAAGTTACAGAACATTTTTAGAAGTTATTTTCAACGAACTTTGCAGTAACAAATAATTTTGTTCTAAAAGTTCAATAAATATATTTTTAGATTAATTTTTATTCATTTAATTTTGTAAATATGTTTTGAAATGCTGTCATTTCTTTCGAGTAAGTATTATAAATGTAATAATATAATGTGTATATCACCTTCATTAAATGAAGAAGAAAAATTAGGATGTGATGAACATTTCTATAATTATTATAATTTCTGATACACTATTTAATTCATAATAAAATTTAAAAAAACATTTTCAAATTTATTTTGTTTTTGAAGTTTTTTTTATAAATTTATAATTGTAAAATAAAAATGTTACTGAAATCAAGAGGCAAACTATTATTATCAACATTTTTTTAATGAAAATATTAAGCAGATTCTAAAAATAAATTCTTGTTTCCCCCCCCCCCCCCTATAANTTTTTTCCCCCCCCCCCCCTATAATTTTTCATCAATGGCTTTGGACATCGAAAAGTTCTTTATACTACACATGTTAACAATTTTAAAATTACACATTTTTTCGTCAAAATTGTGGCGAACAAAAATTTTGGTCTAGCTAGTACCTCAAGAATTAAAATTTTATACCATGGGTTACATGATTATTGGCGATTGAAACGGGCTACAGGTGGCGTAGACCAAAACTCTCTACCTATGACAACACTTCGCAGGCTTTCACTATTAGCGCGTTGACACTCATAGCAGGAGGAGGCACGTTAGTTCCTGTCTTAATTTTCACATACATCGAAACCTTTTAAGTTAGGAAACTTTATGGAACTGAAAACTACATTGAACATAGTTCTGAATGAAACCGCCGTGGAAATTTTAAAAAATACTTATGATAATTAAATATGAAAATATTTGGAAAAGTGAAAATATCGTAGTACATTTCTATATAACTGAGGAGAGGAAAGGGGGAAGTTCAAGACATGGAATCGGTTTTCCTGCCAGATGGCGTATTCGGGCGTTGCGATCGCGAGTCACATCTGAAATTATATCTAAGCCACCTGATACACTAAAATTTATAACTCTGGCAATTAGGATTTCATACAGAATTCATGACAAGGAAAAATATTCGCATATCTTTTTCTCTTTATTGGGCCCAAATATTTTTTAAAGAGTTTTTTTTTTTTCATATAACAAATTGCATTAAAACGAACAGTTTACGAATCTTTAAAAAAAATTTGAAACTCGGGATTCCTTTAAAACTGCAGTTTTAAAGGAATCCCGAGTTTTTATATTAACGCCCATGATTTTATATTAAAACATGTTTTAATATAAAATCATGGGCGTTAAATTTTCTGAAAATACCATTAGATATATAAAGAGAATTTTTAAAATAGTTTTATTGAGTACAAAACATGCTATTTGCTGTTCATATTTCGAAGTAAAATTAGAGCAGACACAAAAAGCTTTACATTTTTTGAAAAGCGGTATTTTTTTTAAAACTGACTTTATATTAAAATATCGGTGCAATATTCTAATAAAATACCCATATATTTTCAAATATACATAAAGAGTGTTTCTAAAAAACCTTTTACTGTCTAAAACAGGCAAAAGTACTCTGTGTTTAACAAATAACTTCGATAAGACTAGACATGAGTAAAATGGATTGTTAAAATAGTTTTATTTAGTCCAAAATATGAATATTTCAATTAATGTATCAAAGTAACATTAATTTTTTTAAATGTGAGACTTTTTTTAAGGCTGGTTAAATATTAAAATAGAGGCCTCATATACTGTGAAAATGCCAACATATGTCTAGAAATATTGGTATGTAGGTACTTTAGTTTCGTAGCGCTAGAGCTGCATATTGGGCTATTTGCGGTGGTGTTTGAAACATTACTGAGGATGATCCGAGGTCATGCCATCACAATTTCGATCCTCTGCAGAGGGGATGGATCCACTGCTTTCGTAGCCCGACTGGCTGCGCGCGAAATCGAGCACTTTACGGTAGAACAGTTTAACGAGGATCAATACCGCGCACCCTCGGTCCCTACGCAGGCTGATCAAAGTGGTCACTCATTCTCTTACTGACCACAGTCAGTGATGCTTGACTTCGGTGTTCTACTGGGAACCGTGTCTTTACGATAAGTCCACCGCGGGGCCTTGAAATATTGAAAAAACAATAGTATAATTGATAATATTTTTTTTTACCAATATACTCAATTTCTAGTTTTTATATGTATATCGAAGCTACATTAGAATGGACACTTGGCTTGGGGAATTTTAAATTATTTTTAAAAAAACGGGATTTGTTTAACACTATTTTAACGCAATTTTTCGAAGCTCTGTCCCCAAGGAAAATAAAAAAGCCTTAGTTTAAGTGCCTTACACTTGAAGCAATGTGATGATTTTAAATTACGTATATAATCTTGCCGTTCAGAATTATATGGGCTTTAGAACAAACAAATAACTTAAATATTTTAAAAATTATTTAACTTTTTTAAAAATCGACAATTCGGCGACATTTTCCCACCTTGATGAAAAATAGCATATTATTCGCAAAAAAAGCATCATTTGATATTACGACGGAGCCTTCAAAAAACAGCCCAACCCTCAACCATTAGTTTCGCTTTCAGTTACGTTAACTGACCGGCATTATCGATGCATATATATTTGTCCTAATTGGCACCGAATTCGAGGCTAATACTCAGTCAAGCATTCCGTAGTTGAAAGAGTTAAATGGAAAATTCAAAAAGATTTCTATCTGATCGTATTTGAGAAATTCATAATATATTTTATATAAATTGTGTTGCTGGTATCTAAATGTAAAGCAGAAAATTATACCGCAATGGGAAGACTTGTACCTTTAATCGATTTTAACTTTTTTTTTCAGCGCAGAAAGTAATGTTTCAAATAATTTAAAAATTTTGGGGAATATATAAAAACATTTGGAAATACGTTTGCCTAATAATCTAAAATATTTGTATGAATTCTGTTATGCACATCAGAAAATTTTTTAAAGTTAAGAAAACTGGTCCAAGCTTTGCGATCATCGCACATTTTGAGTTCTTTTCTAATTTTTTTTATTTTTTAACTAAATAGTTCATTGTATTTGGATGTTTATGCTATCAACATTTTGTTTTAAAGTAACCTGCATAAGCTACAATAAATGGAATTAATTATAAATGTAATACCAAATCTTTTATTGAAATATTTCAAAAATTTATAGCGTTTTAAAGAATATAAATTTTTTATATGTTCCAGAGTAACCAAGTCAACAGGGAATGATGACCATTATGTATGAGCTTGGTGAACCCTTTAATCTTGTCTACAGCACATCAATTCTACACTTGGTGTGATGGTATGAGTTGCCATCACATAAGACACACGATCACCCCTAATATTGAGCCACCTTGCCATGACAGCCCAGCGGTATGCTCGTGACGTATTTAGCCTCATGTATTGCCTTTAAAGGCAGGGCTCTCTGGAGCCAGTTTTCAGCAAACAATGCTCGGTCACTCATTGTAATACTGTCACAGGAATAAATCCGCCACATTACCACATTTTCCTGGCCTGCTTGATTCCCAAGCTTGTCACCGAACAAGCATATCTGGGACCACTTGAAACGATTTAGCTCTGTTTGTACAGCAGTCATGGAGCGAAATGCCGTACAACATCAAAAGGGGCTTACATGCCTCACTCCTCGACCGTATCGTAACCAACAATCGTCTTAGAGGTGGCCCAAGATAATACTAAAACTTTCATTCATTTGTAATTAAATAGATCATGTGTTTCTAAATTTATTATTTAATTATTTTATGACAAAAATCAGAAAATTATTAATGTTAAAACGTCATGTTGTAGAAATGAAATATTTTATAGTAAGTTTTATTACTTAACAATTTAAATTTTAAATATTACAGGAATCAAGATGTTCATGGCACTAGCGTATGATATCGAATGCTAGCGAAAGTGATGATAGATTGACGCCATTGGTCTGAGATAGGCATTCAAACTTTTTTCGGCACATGCGTCAAGAGCTGTAACTTTTGATATAGTGCTGCCCTCTATAAATGGGGGATATTTTGTTTCTTTTTGTGGCAATGAATTTGTGTTTTTCTTTTCTTTTTTTTTTATTTCACCCTGCTCAGTTTGGCAACATTAAGATGTACAATGTTGCACCGCGAAATGATATTTGTTGCACAAGTCGAAAAGAATCGCAAAATAATATTATTTGTCATTGATTATTTTATTTCTTAATCTGTATAACTATATTTGATGTATTTATTTATGACAACATGAAATGCGTTTGCTATTAGTTTTGTTCTCTGTTGTGTTTTCGAGATTGAATCAATTGCTGCAACAATGTTGTAATAGAATAAATAAACATGGTTTGGGGTTTATGCTTTAGAGACTTATTGCCCAAATTGTACTTATTCTGATTAATCATAATTTATTTCATGTTCTGAAGTTCGCTTAACGTATTTAAAAGCATGGTTAGTATTTTTGCAATTTATATTTATGGTACATATAATTCGTTCCACAAATTGTCATGTATTAAAAATTTAGTTTCTTGCATTTTTTCTTCAGTTTAAATTTCTACTTCAGGTTTTATGTTTTCATTTTTCTTGTCAAATTATATTTTTATGGAAAAAGGGGCAAATTATCTTGCTTGACAGTTAATATGTTTTGTTTTTATCTTTTTTCGGTATCCTGAATATCGTTTTTTATTCACTTACTTTATTTATCAATTGAAAAATGCATAAAGCTTGGAGGATCATGATTTTTATTCATTGTCTTTTTATAAAAATGTTTTACCATACTTTATACCGATTTTTTAAAACAAATTAATAGATTAGGCTGTGTGATCTAAATTAAAATTTTTTTTATTGTTTATGTAAATAAGTTTTAAATTTGGTGGTTCCATATCAGTACCTGCTTGGGCCAAATGAAATGACTCATTTGCTTAACAGCTATGAGATTCGTTAGACTTTTTGTGTAATTTCTAAACGTTAGAATAATTTTTAACATTTGTGCATTATTTTATGGTTTATTGGATTGCCAATGTACACCTATATATAAAAATAGAAATTTATAAATGCCCTATCTTATTCCTACTAGATTTAGATGAATTGAAATTTTTCTGCAAACACAAAATCTCAATTTGAACAATTTCTGTGAGCAATTTATTGACTCTTGTAACTAGTGTCTTCCTTTCGTCGACCTAATTTTGACAAAATTTATTTAAAAATCATCAATTGTCATAAAACTTCATATTGATTATTGTACGTACCAGCATATATTTCTTTCAATTTAGTAGTTTTCTGATGATAGTTATTGATTTACCTTGTTTTACCTTATATTGGGCTATATTTCTGTCTGTCCAGGCTGAATTTACTACCGTTTAGCAGTACCGTCCCGAATTCAATTTTAGTTAAAACGGTAGTTTCACAAATTCAACATTAGGAATAACGGTAGTTTCACAAAATACTTTTTCTTAAAATTTTATTTTTGTATCCCTTAAGAAACGATAAATCCATATTTTTGTGTTGAAATTTAAATATAATTTTTAATTTTTCACAAATTATGTCTAAATTTTCACAAAATAGGTACCTCTCAGAAAAACCTAAACAGACCCCTGTCTTTATATATTTAAAATCTAAGTCACTTTAAATAAATATTTATATTTATTAGAATTTAATAAATATTTTTATAAAATTCTCTGTCCATTAATTTTTTGATGCCTGATAGTCAGCTTCAAGTTCATTCATTTTTTTAAAAAAAGTATTTAATAGGTAATACTGTTATAAATTTTCGTGATATTTACAAATTTCCTGCAAACAACATTCGTGTGTATTATGCATAGGATCTGAGTCTTATTGCAAACAATTTTAAATTATACCATGAAACAATGCACCAAGAAAAAAGAGGCATTCAGGTATTTATAATCATTAATTTTATTTATGAAAATCATAATTGCTGGCTGAATTTAGAAATAGTTAGGAAATTGAAGCATTTTAAAGACTTGCAGGATTGCTTCATTAAAATTAAATCTATCTTAATAATACGAGAAAATAACTTGCTATCTTATAAATATATTCAGAGTTTAAGTAAGGGCTATTATATATAAAGTAAATTGAAAAATATCTTATAAATGAAACTGCATTTTTCTCATTGTGTTTTTTCTTTTTGGAGTGTGCACTCCCTTACATCGAATATGTTGCTGGGGTGTTATTTACACCACTAGTAAATAATTGTAATGTTTTCTTGCTGTGTAAACTAGTTTCATTTGAATTTTCATTTATTTTTTAATGATTTGAGTTGATCGATATTTTCAGACTTTTTTTTGTTCCGTTCCACTTTCACGCCTGGTTTAACTTCGAATAAATTTTTAAAAGAAAACAAATAAACCCATATTGGCTTGCCAGGGTGTATTCGCCGAAACCTGATATTATTTTGATGCACTTATATGTATGGAAATTTGTCCATTTACTTCTATGCAGGATAGTGGTAATTGAATTCCGGGTGTACCCCTGAATTCCTTTTTAATAATGAAGAAGTTATAATTCAATGAAATTTTGAAACTTTAGCTGAATCATGTTAACGAGATGTTTACATGCTGTAACGAATCAAGCTATATTAAGATACAGTTGCTTTTTTATAACGAACACATTTATTTAAAAACTATAGCTACATAAATGAAAAAATTAATGTACCCGTAAAGGGTTAGTATGAACCTCAAATTCGAAAACAAAAACTATATTCTCAAAAATCAACAACTCCCTGATGTTCCATAAAAGTCTTGTGCCCTTTAATTTTAATTTATCTTGTTATGTTTTTTAAATTTTTTTTCTTCATGGTTTTGTTAACCAGATATTTTTTAATATTTTTAGAATTTATAATACATTGACTCCTTTGGTTTGGTGAATTTTTCGCCATTTTTAATATTTCGAACTGTGCCGAAACCCGCTAATATCACGATTCTTATTCAGACAATTTTAATATCAAACATTGATTTTTGTATTTATCTGATTAAAAAGTTACGAGTTGCGATTTTTATTCACTCAATTTAAAAATCGTGCATTGTGATTTCTATTCACATTATTTAAAAATCAGGTTTTTAAGTTTGTCCCCATTATGATTTTATTTTTTCAGTTTCTCATGTTCCATTGCACAGGGTTCTAGTCTGATCCAGAATTCTAAAAAATGGACTATTAAAATAATTTGCTTAAGATTTAATGCAGCATATCAGTGTCATTTAATTTTTTTCTATTATATATATGAATTGTTTTATATTTTAGAACTCTGAAGTTGTAGTAGTAAAGATTGAAGTTGGCCATAAAGCTGTTTTGAAACCTAAAGAAACTCCTGATGGCCACACTCATGATTGGACGGTCTTTGTTCGGGGTGCGGAAGACAATAAGATAGAACACTTTGTTGAAAAAGTTATATTTTCTCTTCATCCGAGCTTCCCAAAACCTAAAAGAGGTAATTAGTTGCGATACATCATTTTTGAATTTTTTATTTTAAGATACACTTTTTAAACTTTACTTTTTTTTAAATCTAAGTTAAGCCCAAAACATCAGTTTTGCAGTGTTAGAATTTTACTTTAAAAGTGTTCAATTTTTATTCTCAACCATGATTAAAGAGACATGTAAAATGCTATTAATTGTCTCATTAAGTCTCACATTTCATAATTTGCATGCTTTACATTACTATTGTTTTATCTTAAAATTTACAAGGATAACATAGATGTCAATTCTTTTTTCTTTTCTTTCAGAGATTCTTTAAATGTTTAGCTTTCTTTGTTACTCTTCCTACATCTACCAAATATTTCCATAAAAAGAAAGATATATATTAATATATCTGTAATGTATATCAGAGTTTTACCTAGGAATAAAAAAAATCAGGGTGCTTCTTCACAGAAAAGGCACTTTGAGTTTTGGAAAGGCACTCACTTAACACCGTAAAAGTTTATCAAAATGTGTAATATTATGTAATAACTGAATTAGCACTCAATAATTCCTAAGTTACCGTCTTATACTGTTTTATGTGCATTTTTCCAAAAATAATTTTCACTCGTTATCAATCTTGTTACCCTTTTTTCTAACGCTGCCTATTTTATTCTATAGTTATGAATTTTTATTAAGGTTTTACCCTTAGTTTTCCACAGCACGGAACTCATTTGCTCGTAAATTCTACAATTAGTATGATCATGAGACCTAAGGCATTATTTTATAACCACATCCTATCTTTCAAATTTATTTTTTGAAGAAGTTGTTTTTTGAATAGTTATTTTTCTAATAATTAACAGGAGTAAATGTAACAGCAGTTGTCTAATTTTGTTTTGTAATATTCATGTGATGAACTGAAAAACATTAATCTGATATTCATATGAAAAACATTAATAAAACACAAATAATGTTGAAGAAATGGACTTATGTTTTCAGTTTTATAAGCAAGAACCTTTCATAATCTCTAAAGAGAAAATTTATTTATGTTTAGATAAGTTCATTCTGGTTATGTTCGATAGTTAAATTTTACAGCTTAAAAACAATTTCCTTTTATGATTTTTTCCCCCCACCTTTTTTGGCAGTTTAACACCTTTAGATAGGTTATAAAAGTTCTTTTACTTCATTATCAACGTCCCTCTTATCGTTAAATTTCCTATTTAAAGAAAGACAAGGCTGTGCTTTTCCCAGAAAATTTTATCAAGTGTGATTCAGTTACATGACTTTGGTATTATTTATTCTCTAAATGTTTATATTAGGAAGTTGGTTCTAATAATTATTATTGCAAGGGTTCACACCAACAATGAAAATTTATTGGTCAGACAGGACCACTTAAGTATTTATTTAGTGATCCAAAATCTTAATATAGCAGACAAACTAGAAGGGAAGAGGGCGAACTTTAAAATTGCATTATTCATGTTATTTTGTGTAAACAAAATTATTAATAGTGATTTATAACACCTTAAAACTAATTAGATCAAATAGTGGTTGAATATTCATTATATCTCTAGTATTTAATTAGAATAAACTAGTAGATTTAAAATTTTCTGTATATTTAATAGCTGAATAAAAAGTGTATGATTTTTAGCTGTAGTTATTTTTATGGTTGCATATTTGGGCTGTTCCATAATTTTTTTATTTATTTTGGATTCATTGTACACATATATATTTCTCTTGTGTGGCACCAAAAATATGGATATTTTTATATCTGAATTGACAATACTGAAGTTATCTAAAGTAATTCGTTTTGTTAGGTTGTCTAGTTTAAGTAGCATTGAATAAATAGTTATACATTAACTATTTGTTTAGATTCATTTGGTCAGGGAGTCTTATGTGATAGTTTAAAATAGTTGTTATTTATTAAATATTTATTTAGAATAATTTTGTGTGAAAATAAAAGCTTAGTTACGAAGTAATTCTTTAAATTTTTTTTAATATTTCCTAAAATGGCCTTTCTAAGACGTTTTTCTATTGTTTCTATAAGTTTTTTTTGCCTACTATGCTAAAATGTCCTTAACTCATACTTATGGTAGTGTGATTTAATGGCTGCTGGATAAATTTCAAATTATTACTGAAATTCAATACATACATATAATGGACAATATAGCAGAGATTTCTTGAAAATAGTTGAAATTGAAATCAAAGTACTTTACGGGCAAAACTGCAGGGAGCAGCTAGTTATGAGTAATCTAGATTTAACAAATACAGTTTTAGTTCTAATGAATTTATTAAAATTACTTACTCTATATTGAAGAAAAGTTAAGACTCGATTGTAAGGAATTAAAAGTGTATTATTATTCTTGAACGAACTTTTAAATATCTATCCTCTTTTATTTTCTTTCAAAATGGTTTTTATATCTTGTCTAATTATTTTGTATATTGCATTTTTTAAAATCATATCAGTGATTAAAAGTAAAAAAAAAAATATTGATTTTACAGTTGTAAAAGAACCACCTTTTGCAGTCTCAGAAACTGGATATGGTAGTTTTACTATGCCTATAGATGTATACTTCAAGTCGAATGAAGAACCTAAGAAAGTACGATTTAACTATGACTTGTATGTGAAAGTAGGCTCAACTTTTTCCAATATTCGCTTGGAAAAAATGACTTTTAAAAATCCTGCACAGGAATTAAGAGAAAAACTTTTGAAAGCTGGCGGGGTAAGTTTGATCTATTAAACTTCTAACGGATATGAAAATTGTTTTTACTTAGTTTTCATTATTATTTGAAGATGCTGGAAGTATCGATGAAAACACTCTAGTTTGTAAATACCAAACATTCTTAAATAATTGGTTTATGAATATAATTAAAACATTTGGGTCATTCCTTTTAAATTATTATTTTTAAGACAAAATTATTTGCCTTAAAGACCCAAATTTTACTTACATTTAGAGTGATTAGCTTTTTTTACTAAGAATAAAATTTCTTTTACTGTTTTTATTAACACAATGATTTTTATTCTCATAAGTTTACTTTAAATTAGTCATTTTATCATTCATATTTTTCTTACCAATATTATATTTTGCAACTACATTTTGTCATAAAACAGTTTACTAAATTATTTCCAGAAATATATTAAGTACAAAACTTCAATCAGGCTTTAAAATTATTTAAAATGTTTATTATGCCAAACAGGACTGTTATTGTTTATATTTCTCTGATTCATACTTAGGTTGTGAAGCTATGTTCTTGATTTAGACTGATTGTTTTAACAATTTAAACTTGTTGAATTTGTTATGGCTTTTCATACATAGTTAGAGCATAATAGAATTAGCTAATTAGGAAAATTAAAAGTTGCTTTTAGTTATAAATTCTTTTTGGGAGCCTCAGCATTTCTTCGTTAAACATACTTTTATCAAATCCATATAAATTCTATGTATTTATGATTTTTGTTGTTAATTTTAGAAGCATTTTATTCCTTTATTACATTTCATTTTGTAAAAATGCTTATTAATTTGTTTAACTCTGAGATGCAAAGACCCATGATGTAAGAAATGTATTTCCTGTTTAACATAATTGGATTCAGATTTGGTATAATCAAAGTGTTAAGAGATCAATTTTATATATTCTGTTTATATCTTTTATTTCATGTAATTCACACCACTCTGTAATTATCTTCTTATCTTGGCCTTAGAAATTTTTTTTATAATTTACAGAATTTATAAAATTGTTAGTTACTGTATCTCTTTTATTCATATTTCTTTTGATGATAATTTAAAAAAAAATTAACTTGTTATTATTTTATTAAATTGCCAATTGGTTATACTAATAATATTTTACTTTATTGTGTTTCAAAAACATTTGATGTGTTTTTAAAAGAATAAAATTTGAAAGAATTATTTTAATGTGAACACCCAATCTTTTATAAAATCAAGTAGAAAGATAAATTTTAACTTTGTTTTCTTTGTAAATTTGTAGTGAAATGCATCATATATTAAAACAGAGGTGATAATTTTTTTTTTTACTTTTTTAAGTAACTGAGATAAGTATTTCATGACCTATCTTCACATAGTCATTGTAAGCGATGCATTTTAGGGTGTAAATTTTCAAAAACTTCTATTATATATTTAAGTCTTAAATATATTTCTGAAAAAATATTTTACTATTTATTGTTATTTTATCAATAATTATAAGTTAAATATCTCTTCTTGGAGTGGCCAGAACTTGATGGGGGGGGGGG